CATGTTTGTATAAAGTACACGTTGCTACTTTTGGGAATAATTCATTCATATGTTTACTGGAAGCTATTACTTGAGTACCATAAGTTAAAAATTTGTATCCTAAAAATCTAAAAAAAAAATCAATATTATTGTATTATATTGTATTATTATTGTTTAAATATAGTTAGTAATGTCATCATATATTATTAATTTAAAAAAATAATATTAATGTAACGTACCTATTAGTCAAGTATATTTGTCCTATAACATTTACGAAATTAAGAATTTCGCAGCCAAAAAATTTGTAAACATAAATATTTTGAGAATGTAAGTTGAGTGTAAAATAGTTTATTAAGTATTTAATTCTATTCTGTTTAATTGTATCATCTACAATAGAATTATTGAGATGAGAGACTAACATCTTAATCTTTCCTCCTTCTAATATTTTCCATAAGTAATGAGGAAAGTAAAACATCATAATCTGTGTAAATTAGAAAAAAATAATTAAATTATGTTTTACTTAAAAAAAATAATATTTTTATTATTCTATTAATTATATATATATAATAAAAAAAATTAACTAACCTGAAAATAGAGAAATAAGGCAACCCATTGGTAATATTTATGATAAAATTTGATTTTTCCATCCTTTGAAGTAGTATAGGTAGAAAGAATCCAACAATACAGGTTCATGACTTTAGAATCGATATCATTTACTACACAGTCAATTGGATCACCAAAATATTGTTTCTGTGTTATTAATATACAAAATATAAGTAAAAATATTATTGTTATTTTATAATGAAGAGAAAATATTATATTATTAATATGAAAATCCTTTGTGTGAATATTTTTGAAATATTTTTTATGGACATTATTAAAGACTGCATACATAATTAAATCTTTTAAAGACTAATTATTGAAATATATATATTTGAATATTTTTTTTTATGATTTTATTTTTTTATTACTCATTTATATATAAATAAATCATTAATATTTTTTAGCATTTATATATAAATCATTAATATTTTTAAACTCTATTAGAAACATGGAGAACCAATTGAAAAATACTAAAAACTCTCTCAATATTGTAGTAAATACAGAAAAAAAAGTTATTAATAATTTTATCTTATCAATAAAATTATTTTTAATTTGTTCTAAATACTGGATTAAATATTTTTTTTGGGTTAAAAGATTATAATACAGATCTAGACTTAGAATTAAATTAAAAAAAAAATGGGGATGATGAAAAAAAAAAAAAATTAGAAAAAATAAATTAGAAAAAAATTTTGTAAAAAATTAAAAAAAAAATTCATTTTTTTAATAATAACAGAATTTTTTACAGAAAATAAACAAAAAAAAGAAGAAGAAAAAAAAAATAATGCTTCTTATGTAATAGGGAAAAAATTTTAAACTTTTTTTTCATTATTATGATTAAAATTTTTTTGAAAATCCCAAATTTTTTAAAAAATAAAATTGGGTTCGGAAATTTTTGAATATTTTTTTTTTTTTTTTTACAAACCTTTTAAATTTTAAAAATTTAATTTTTTATTTTTTTTAATTTTTAATTATAAATATGGAAACCCAAAAAGGGAAAAACACAAAAAACTCTCAATACAAAAAAAAAAGGGTTTTTAGAAATTTATTTAAAATAAATTTAAAAATTGTTTTTAATTTTTACAAAACAATGGTTTAATTACTATTTTGGGAAAAAGATTAAAATGACAGGGGCAAACTTGAAAAAAAATGGAAATTAAAAAATAAAAAAAAAATGATGATGAATTTAAAAAAAAATAGTGAAAAAAAAAAAATTTAAAATTAATAACAAAAACAATTTTTTTTTCTAAAAAGGGTCTAGAAGAAAAAAAAAGAAAAAGGGAAAAGAAAATCAACAAAAAAAGAAACTTTATTAAATATCCCCCAAAAATTTAAAATAAAAAAATTTTTTGGTTTCAATTATACATGTTTTGAATATTTTTTTTTATTTTTTTTTAAAGGGCCCTTCCAAATTTTTCATTTTTTTTTTTATTTGCAAATTTTGTTTAATGACCCTCTCTTATATGTTTTAAATAATGGGGAATAATATTTTTTTAAGGAATATTCCCAAAAAATTACAAAAAAAAATTTTTCCATCGCATCTACTCTGTGTAAACGTTCATGCTTTCTAAAATTTAATTTTAATAAATGGTTTCTGACACCTTTTAACCAAATTTTTTTACAATTTTAAGTGGTTTTAAAAAACCCCAAAAGTTTCTACAATTTTATATGTTTCCTCAAAAACATATTTACGAGGGGAAAAAAATCTTATCACAATCATTACAAAGGGAAATTTTTTTCCCGTGGAATTTTTAAAAGTTTTCGAAAAAAAAGAATTAAATGCCCCAATGTTTTATTGCATTTTTTTACTTGTACTCGTTTACTCTTTGGGTTTTAAAGTGAGGTTTTTTATAGATTTTAAATTTGGGGGTGTTTTTAATTATAAATTAAAATTTATCTTATTTTTGGGGGGGTAATGTAGTTTTTAAGTGGAAATTTTTTTTTTCAAAAAACGTTGGGTCCCCTCTCTTTTATTGGGGATTTAACCCTCCTAAAAAAAATTTTTTTGTATTAAAAGAGTTTTTTGTAGTTTGATTTATCATATCCATTATTAATGAATTTTTGTAGTTAACCATATTTTACCCAAAGGTTTTGAAAAATGATGTCATTATATTTTTTTTAAAACCCTTGACAAAAAAATGAGTTTTTAAATCCCTCTGTTTGTTTAAGAGAAATAATGAAAATTTCAATTTACTATATAAAAACTTTTATACTTTTTTAAAATTTTTTAACCAAACAAGAAATATTTAAAAAAGGGAAGAATGTCCCAAAAAATTTAAATAAGTATTTAAATTTTACGTTGTGCTAAGTTGATGATTTATTGTTTTATCCCCTACATGGATAAGAAAAAAAATGTATTTTTTGTACCAAGAGTTTTTTAAAAAGAATAACAAGTTTTATTTCCATTCTTAAAATTATAAAATTTTGAAGATTTAATCAAAAACCTTGGGGAAAGCTTTGGGGGTGGTGACAAAGAAAAACACTTAAATAGTTGTATTGAAATAAATGGAAATAAAACTGATATAAAATTCGTATAAAATTTCAAATTGTTGAAGAAATGAGGGGCACATCGAATTTTTTCTACCCTGAATTCATTCGGGTAGGGATTGTGGAATAATATTTTTTCAACTTTATAAATTTCCCGAAAATGAAGTAGTTGTTTGGTTCGATCTTAACTATAAAAAAAATTTTTAACTTTTTAATTACCTTTTTAACATAACAATCAAAGTTTAGATAAAAAACAACAAAAACGAGTTTTAATTGAATGGAGAAAATTAAAAATAATTAAATTCAATGGAGGAAAAAATTTTTTTTTAGATTTTTAAAAAAAAAATTATATTAAAAACAATCAATGTTTAGGAATTAAAACATGTTTGATAACAAAAACTGGACGTATCTAAGTCCCCAAAAATTAAATACAAAATTTAGCCCATACACAAAAAATAGAAAAAGCAAAATCGAAGTTAAAGTGGTTTTTTCAAAAGTTTCCCCGAAAATTCAAAGGAATACACCTTTAAATTCGATAGAGTATCCCCCTTCTATATTTAAAAAGGAATTACAAAAAAAGTAATAATCATTCAAAACTCTAAGTGTAACTTTAGTTATGATGTAAATTTAATCCAACACCTAATATCTTTAAATTTTGAAAAAAAGGTTTTTTATTGTACTGGCAAAAGGTTCCTATTAGGTTTAAGGAGCAGAAGATTTCCAAATGTAATAATAACAAAAACATAAAATATCTTTTTCTAATGTTGCTGCTATAACTACACTTCTGCTGCTGTATACTGTGCAATACTGTTTTGTTACTAAAAAGAAAACAATTTTCATCTTTATCTAACTCTATAAATAAATTTAACGAAAATAAAAAAATTCAATGTTTTATAAAAAAATTTTTTAAGTTTCTTTTAAATTTGCTTTTAAAAAACAAAAATAAAATTTTTAAAAAAAACAAAAAAAAATGTATTATGTTTTCTTTTTTTTGTATTATAAGTGAAGAGAGAAGTGAGACTATTTAAAAATCTCTAATTTTGATGAGAAAACATATACTCCTGAATTTTTAGAGAAGAAGTGTTTTTTTAAAATTGGACAGCTTGGTAGTAATATAATTTTGAAAATATCCTTAAAATTCTGAATATTTAATCTTATTTTTCTGGGAAAGATTATTAACTATATATGATTTCTTTTTCGAAACTTTGAAGAAGAGTTCCTCCCAAAAGGATTTTAAAAAAAGGGGAAAATGATAATATATAGAAATGATTTGCAAAGTTTTTTTCCATAAATAAAGAATATTTCCCATATTAGAAAACGTTAGAGGAAAAAGAAAAAAATAGACTAAAAAATTCTTATTTTGATAAATGGTTCAAAAAAGAGA